GAAGTCTCTTTTTTTCCTTCTGAACGGCAGGTCTCAATTTCATAGGGTGAAGATGAAGTGATCAGGTGCTCGTAGTTCTATTGCGAATGTGGGCGCAGTTCGGCTTGGTGGGGGCATTTTTCTGGCACCCATCGATCATTGCAACTGCTTTCTGTAGAAACCTGTGAACTCTTGCAAAGCACTATGCACTAAAACAGGCAGGCGTTTAGGCAAGAGTCTAGAGGTCCAAACAAGGTAACACGTTCATCTTAACTTAGAGAACTAGGATCTAGTTCCACCGAGCCGAGAGCGTCCAAATTGACAACGAGATGTCCCGTAACTTACCTCTGACGAGCTTGATCTGTCCAGGAAGAGAAACTGCAGCACGACCGTTGTGGCAGGATGGGTGGCCATTAGCATCGTAGGTCTGAGCGACTACATCTATCGCATGGATTGTCGGAACTGCTAAAATAGTTTGGCTGTTTTGCAGCTAATAAATGTTTTGTCTGTCAATAAAATCATTTGGAGGGAATCGCTTGACGAACGCATTCTTCGGATGTATTCCGAGCCGAGGTTAGTTCTTATCAAACCCTTTCCCCATCCGAGAGTCATCGGTTTACCCATTACCACAGAGAGACCAGGACGAAAGCAGTTTCTTCTCTAGAATGAAGTGCAAAAGCGCATGTGAGCGATTTTGAATACGCCTGAATACACTTGGAAGGGGGAGGCACGTGAAAGACATGACCTAAATACTGCTCGAACTAGAAAACGAAGCAAAGTTCTAACGACGGTTTCCATCTGTGAGAGCCAGGTTGCCGGTAGCAGGGACTTCATGAAGGTTATGTCGCAGACTGAGGCTCCACAAACGATAGGCTTATTGCCGTTGTATGACTTTAATGCACATTCCAACACCTTCACAATCACTAGCAAAAGCCAATCGCATGGCGCATCCCACAAATCGTCTATTTCCCCCTGCGGAATAGTCAAGGCTAAAGCAAACGCACAATCAACAACATCAGCCAGTTGAACGACATTATTCACTCCATCCACACAAGGTGCCAAGTCCGCTGGTGGCACGATTGGTGGGGCAGCATAGGCGATGGTGACGAGAGCAAGACTGAGAACCAGCAATGGCATCCTGCAAAGAGGAGAGCTTCAAGAAACACGCCACCACACGTACGGTAAAGTTACCGTAACTTTGTATAGTATAGAGAACGATTTCTAGGCAGCCAAACCGTAGCGGAGGCAGCTTATATTCGCATGGTTATCTAGGTGATTTTTGTCTGAGATGAGGTATCTCGAACTGATAACTGAAAATTTATCAC